AAATGCGACAGAGAAATAACATGTCTTACAGATTTGCTGTATTACCTGGCATAATGGATACAGTCTTAAGTGCTCTCAACACTCTAAACGTTCTGAGACCGGCCAGATTTCCGACTGCCATCCCAATAGTGGCGTATCCGCTGGTAATCACAACGAAGTCCAACCAATTCCAGGGATTCCGCAGATAAGTGTATTTGTTTAGTATAAATCCCTTCGCAATTGATTTTATCACCATTTCCGCCGTATATATGGCTAGGAAGATAAACCTGTAACATGAGAAACATAGGATATCAGATCAACTATCCGCCAACGTTTGTTATCAGGACCTGACATGTTTACGGAAAAATCAAAATGTTATTATATTGTATAAAACATTTATTATAATTATATAGAACATGTTTGAGCTGCTACAGTTTCCTGTAATTAGTTTCAAAAAATTTATTCTGTAACGAAAAGTCATTATTTCTCACAATTTTATGATTTACAAGAAGTATAAGTCATTATTCGTATTTAGATTGTTTCAAATTTTGTTTTAAATATACTCGTAGAAACTGATATACTTTTAAAAAAACCTTTTTTTAAAAAAAGAAAAAACATACGCCAAGTGCATAAAAATATATTAAACTTCTTGATCAAAAACAGATATGAGATAAATATAATTGACCAAGTGTATTCTTCATTACGCCAGTCACATAAGACAGACCAAAAGTGACTATAATTGTCAACTGGATTATAGTAAAGAAAAAACTTGGCGTGCCCGGGTCGCATTAAATGTAAACAGTATGCAGTGAAAACATTATTTCAACATAGTATTTGCATTATAAATTCAAATAACAGACATATGTATATAGATATAATATCATATATAAGTATAACATAGTGATATAATTTGTGAGACATGAAAATATATTCACAAATAATAGATGTGATGTAAATTATGGACAAATATAATGTTTAGATATATATTTTAGAAACATTATAAATATAAAATAACAATTTATTATGTTCAGTAAGCAATTATTAACATCTTTTCTTTGTTGAATTATTGTTTTCGTATATTTAGTGTATACTGCAGAATATTGCGATAGAATCGAGATTCTAGAATATTGCGACCCGGACACGCCAAGTTTTTTCTTCACTATAATCCAGTTGACAATTATATTCACTTTTGGTATGTCTTATGTGACTGGCGTAATGAAGAATACACTTGGTCAATTATATTTATCTCATATCTGTTTTTGATCAAAAAGTTTAATATATTTTTATGCACTTGGCGTATGTTTTTTCTTTTTTTAAAAAAAGGTTTTTTTAAGAGATTTCACCGCTTTTTATAAATTTTGAAAACGTAATGATAATGCAGGAAATTTAAATCCTCTAAAAATAAATGCAGATTCTATTTCTAAAATAGTTATCGGGACTTGGTCTCTAGATCTCGGTATCGGCTGCACCAATTTTATTCGGACTGGTCGCAATCGAAGGATACCGATGACATTATGTAATAAAAGGGTTTTTAGATTTTTGATTGGGCTTTTAAATTCTGAGTAATTTTAATCTAAAGTTTGAAGATGTGAAAACTCGAGATAAAGCTAGCGGTAGCGTTGTGAATTTGACAGCGACATGAACATATATCAATCGCGCATCAATCAAGTCAAGCGATCATGTCAAGCAGTCAAACGGTTATATTTTTATTTTATGCACTTGGCGTCGCGACGCTACCGCGTCGCTTGATTTGGTAATATTAAACAAATACTAAAATCTTTTTAAGACTGTACAATCGATAAACAATAAACATACAAGAAGAAGGAAACCAATAACGGTCAAAGCCACTAACGGTCAAAGCTGGATCACAAATGCTTATTAAAATTATGTGTGAATTTTATATATTGCGTATGTAGTCCCCTTAATCGCGTGCCGAAATTTTTTCAGACTTAGAACGCAACACTAAACAAAACTACAGCAGTAATATCACTTTTAGTTAAATTGACAAGCAATCTAACAATTTTTGATGCTTATAGCATCTTATTAGATCTTAATAATATGTTAGAAGGCATATCTATATTAAAATTTAATGATGTAAATGTTAAAGTAATGATAAATCTAAATCTGTGAAAAATAAGATTCTAATATCTTATTAAGATCTAATAAGATGCTATAAGCATCAAAAATTGTTAGATTGCTTGTCAATTTAACTAAAAGTGATATTACTGCGGTAATTGTTTAGTGTTGCGTTGTAAATCTGAAAAAATTTCGGCACGCGATTAAGGGGACAACATACGCAATATATAAAATTCACACATAATTTTAATAAGCATTTGTGATTCAGCTTTGACCGTTAGTGGCTTTGACCGTTATTGGTTTCCTTCTTCTTGTATGTTTATTATTTGGTAATATTGTAAAATATATTTATCTTTCTTTAAAAATCAAAAGATTACTTTAGATATACAGCACATAATTTTGAAAATAAAGTTAAAAATACTATGATAAGTATGTTGATACAGGGAATCCGTTTCAATAACCTTGATCTTAACATATGTTGTTAATATCATAACCATAAATAACCTTCTACAGGTTTTCCGCCGTCGTTCGTTATTAAAAAAGATAACAGAAAAAGATTTTTTTTAAATCTTATTTCTATAAAAACATTTTATTTCTGCTGCATACAAACATTAGAAACTATCTTATATGAGTACAAGGTGAGGCATCTAAACAGACACCACCCAAATAACTCGTTTGTTTTTAATAATACAAAAAAATATTTTAGATAAAAGTGGAACGCAGAGTTACCAGATACGTAGTACGTGAAATCGCACAACGAGCGCGCTGAAGTCGCCCAAAATCGCAAATTGCGGTAAATGCGTAGATTTACTAAAAAAAGGGGGGGGAGTAGAAGTGTACACAATAAAGTAGACAACAAGCGATGTAAAATAATAATTAAACGTATATTTGTTCCTACGTTTCAATACTACCTCTAATAACACAGTTACATGAGAATTATTTATTATTATTCCACATCACAATAAATCGTGTGTAGTCTACATAACAGCTATTAGTACAAAAATATTTGGCACGATTATTGCATTTACATTTTTTTGCCCAATCGACCTACGTCGTACAAAATGTTCAACAATTATTATACAATCAGATCATCTTCTGTTGGAAAAATTTCCAGGGCCTCGTCAAAATCGATACCGTCCTCGTTGTCATCATAAACCGTAACAACCTGCTTAAGTTCTACATACATCTGTGATGTAAAGAGCTCGTACATTCTATCATTTGGTACGAATTGGTTGCAACACTCGTTCGTCTGAGCAAACCGAATTCGAACCCTCATGATTGTCATCAAAATTTCTATTGACATTCTATTTCTAGCCTTTGTTTTAATAGCATTCATGAAGCTAAATCTTTCCACAAAGACATTAGAAAAAGGCAGACTTAGTACCCGTAGTGCAAACTTTGCGATTTCCGAAAACACCACGCATCCTGATGAATCCTTATAGTGAAGAATTCCAATCCAGAACTTTTCGGAATTCTGTGGAATCATGTCGTCAAAGTGACTTCTGAAATCGATGATATTGAGTTAAATTAAATTAATATCCGCTCAAATAAATTTTCAAATTAAATTTAATATACCTCCCAGGTCAAGAACACATTGAGCTTATACTAGATGTTAGAAATATATATAAATTTATTATAATACCGGTATATACGGACAGTTTCGACTTTACAAAGTCCTCTACAGCCGCAACCGAATACTTTAAAATTAATTTAGTATATTGCGAAGAATATTACAAGTTGGCGTTTCGTCCCGGCTTCCACTACTGGACTCATCAGTAAGGTAATGTAGTGGGAGCCTACCTAAGACGCCTGTTTTAGTTCTTAAATCGAGATTCTATATATACAGATATGCGCGTATTTCAGCACTTGCGAGAAACTTTACGAACATCCATAGACCTCTGCTGGCAAGTCGACGTAGTAATATTCTTCGCAATATTTTTAAGTAATAGACGTTGAAAAGTTCCCCCAAATTGCGCGCCGAACACAGCCGGTCTTTAAAACGCAACTATAATAATTTGAAATAAACTCCCCTTTAATTATTTCCCCACGCATTGTGAGACCAGCGTACAACAAATTAAATTAAATTAATATCCGCGCAAATAAATTTTCAAATTAAATTTAATATACCTCCCAGGTCAAGAACACATTGAGCTTATACTAGATGTTAGAAATATATATAAATTTATTATAATACCGGTATATACGGACAGTTTCGACTTTACAAAGTCCTCAACAGCCGCAACCGAATTGTAGGACTTTGTAAAGTCGAAACTGTCCGTATATACCGGTATTATAATAAATTTATATATATTTCTAACATCTAGTATAAGCTCAATGTGTTCTTGACCTGGGAGGTATATTAAATTTAATTTGAAAATTTATTTGCGCGGATATTAATTTAATTTAATTTGTTGTACGCTGGTCTCACAATGCGTGGGGAAATAATTAAAGGGGAGTTTATTTCAAATTATTATAGTTGCGTTTTAAAGACCGGCTGTGTTCGGCGCGCAATTTGGGGGAACTTTTCAACGTCTATTACTTAAAAATATTGCGAAGAATATTACTACGTCGACTTGCCAGCAGAGGTCTATGGATGTTCGTAAAGTTTCTCGCAAGTGCTGAAATACGCGCATATCTGTATATATAGAATCTCGATTTAAGAACTAAAACAGGCGTCTTAGGTAGGCTCCCACTACATTACCTTACTGATGAGTCCAGTAGTGGAAGCCGGGACGAAACGCCAACTTGTAATATTCTTCGCAATATACTAAATTAATTTTAAAGTATTCGGTTGCGGCTGTTGAGGACTTTGTAAAGTCGAAACTGTCCGTATATACCGGTATTATAATAAATTTATATATATTTCTAACATCTAGTATAAGCTCAATGTGTTCTTGACCTGGGAGGTATATTAAATTTAGTTTGATGATATTGAGCTTATCCCACTATGTCTTCAGTACATCTACGTCATCATTCAGAACTGTAAATAAAATTGAATCACTAACAATAAGTATTTTTTATGTAAAGATTCATGTATCGCTGTAATATCATATAGATAATCGTACTACATATCCTCCTTCACTAAAATGAATTATTGGAGATTAAAAATCAGTATTCGAAGCTATAGGAGCTATTGGAAATTGTAAAGTCTAAAAACAGGTACCTTAGAACTTACTTGTCAAAAATAGGAGTAGTTTGAAGAAATCTACTCTGTTAGGACAAGGATTTAAACATTCATCTGGAGTAAGGTATTGGAGCGTCTCGAAGTGATTAATGTTTGTGGGTAAATGTTCGACAAGCTGTTTGCAAAGCACAGATAAATAATTGACATATCTTTGTTTCATGTTATTCAGTAACTCACAAGGCAAGTTAACTCTGCCTAGATGGATTGTGAAAGATGCTCCATAGTCAATACTATTGAGAAGTAGATGATGCCTCCGGATTATTCAGCGCATTGCGTAGCAATTCAAAGGCCTCAGCTGTGAGAAATTTCCCTTCATTGTTGATTTTAATGAAAGAGGGTTTCAAAATATGAAGCACTAATGATATTAATAAGATTCGAAGATCCACAAACAGCTTCGTAACCTAAAACGTGAACGAAATAACTTCAGTGATTCGATAATTAAATTATGCTCAAAATTTTAAACACCGATTTGTACGCACTTCGGTAGAATTTAGCTCGAATTTCAGATTGATCCTGTTAAACTCATTTGTGATTGGTTTAATAAAAAGCAAGTATAGATAATTTGTTTCATCGTTGTAGAGTTCTCTCAATTGTCTTCCAACCGTGCATTTATCACCGGGATTAAGACTACGTACATGGATATTGAAGTAGGTTTTCAATTCCAGCCACTGTTCAACTAGTACATTAATAGCCTTCGACCAGGCCAACCATCGAGTCTTCACCAACTGTACTAGTTTTAGTGGCATATCTCCTTTATTGATAGCCGAATACAAAGACTCATACTGAATGCGTCGCAAAGGGATATTGGCAAACCAATTCCTAGATTCCCGGACCAAAAATTCAAGATCAGCGGGTAATTGCTCAGCGGCTTTTGATAAACAAAGATGCAGAGAATGGCAAGAACATTTAATCAGCTGAACAATTGGCATCTGTGAAACAAGCAAAGAATAATTAGAATATACCTTATCTTTAAAGAATTTAAAGAAGTCATTCTCAACACTTATCATGTTAGCAGCACTATCTGACGCAATGCCAATAACATTTTTGTAGTCAAGGCCTATGGCTGTCAGATACTGAATTGTGGAATTACATAATATTATTCCTGTTGCTCTTTCGACTTCGACAAAGCCCAAAAAATCAGTGATTATGCTTTTGCGTTTCAGACTGAAGTTTTGAACACAAAACGCCAAGTACTTAATGACGGATACATCAGGTGATTCGTCGATTATAAGGAAAAATTTCTGATTATCTACATCATTTATCAATTCGGTGAGCATAGCTGGTGAAATTACATTTTTTATTAACTTAGAACACTTGGTTCTAATATTTTCCAGTGCAGAGTTTTTTCCTAGCACTGACAGTAGCTCGCCCAAATAGTCTATGCTTGTTACGGCTGTATGTGCTGCTATATGAACGGCCAAACAAAGATCAATTTGTTTAGCTTTTCGGTCCATAACTAAGATGCCTGAACAAATAAAAAAATATTAAAAATCTAGAAAATGTGTAGTCAAAATATAATTATTAGCAATGATAGAAACTTGATGTACCACTTTCAGGAAGGATAGCCTACTCTTTCCTGTGGAGATTGTATCTAGAAGCATTTGCCTTGTGCCTGGCAGTCTCTGCGTGTTTTAGAAGGTCTGCATGATGAGCTCTTAAATTAACTTCACAAACTGTATACCTGGCTTCTCTGAACTCAGGATCATTTGCAAATTTTTGATTTTTACTAAGCCACCCTATTTAGTGAAAAAAAATTAAACACTCCTATTTATTTTTTCATAGATATAAAATAAAATTGATATGAATAGAAAGAAATATAAAGGGATTATCCATAAAAAACAAACAAAAAGGTTATGTTAAAATTTACCTTTCAATTTCTTCTTTTTTTTCCCAACATTTTTTATATTTTCGAGAATACTTCTCCCATTTTCCCATGTTTTCAAATAAACATCAGACTAGGCTGCGTTCAGAATCGTCCGGATGCACTCAGATATTGGGCGAGTTCAAGTCGGCAAAGCAGCTAGGTTAGCTAGGTACGCTTGCCGAGCGATCGAGTATGATTGGTTAACATATGCTGGATTTACACTTCATCCGATTTTCGTCGTACGACGACTCTGCAACCAATCAGAAAAATCGTATCATCGATACGAAGCAAAGAGCCTCGGCAAGGTCCGTGCAAAAAATTCCGGTTTTCAGTACCTTAGTTTTTGAAACTTTTAGTACACCAAATAGTTTGTTATGATGACCCAATAATCCATGCAAAATTTCAAGATAAGCATACAACTGGTTTAGGAAATATCTGGGGTCAAAGGTGACCCTGCGTAGGCAGAAATTATATGAGTATCATATGCATATTCCAATTAAAATAGTGTCTAAAATTAAAAAAAATTTTGTTTGAGATTCAGAATCACTGATCAGCATTCTGAGGTTAGATTAACCAAATTCAAAATGGCGGACCAATATGGCGGACTCAATATGGCGGTCGAATTTTTCAAAGTTTCTCGGTTTCGATTGAAACTTGTTACTAAGGGGTATTTTAAGTCGCTGAATACGAATTTAAAATTGGATTTGCAAAATTCAAAATTAAAAAAAACCCCTAGTGATAAGCTTCAATCGAAATAAAGAAATTTCAGCTTTTTCGTCCGCCACATTGGATCCGCCATTTTGAATTTTGCAAATCCGATATTAAATTCGTATTTAGCGACTTAAAATACCCCTTAGTAACAAGTTTCAATCGAAACCGAGAAACTTTGAAAAATTCGACCACCATATTGAGTCCGCCATATTGGTCCGCCATTTTGAATTTGGTTAATCTAACCTCAGAATGCTGATCAGTGATTCTGAATCTCAAACAAATTTTTTTTTAATTTTAGATACTATTTTAATTGGAATATGCACATGATACTCATATAATTTCTGCCTACGCAGGGTCACTTTTGACCCCAGATATTTCCTAAACCAGTTGTATGCTCATCTTGAAATTTTGCATGGATTATTGGGTCATCATAACAAACTATTTGGTGTACTAAAAGTTTCAAAAACTAAGGTACTGTAAACCGGCATTTTTTGCCGAGGCTCTTTGTTTTCTGATGGATTGCAGAGTCGTCGTATGACAAAAATCGTATGCAGTGTGAATCCAGCAATATGCATACTCGCACGAATACCAATTTTTATTAGAAAACTGAAAATCGCTCAAAAGTCGATAAGAAAATAATTTTCTTTCGAAATCACCCAATTTACGATGGTCGCAAAAGCTTAAAATTTAGTCGCAATTTCGACTCTGAAGTCGCCCAAATTGCGATAAATCGCCCAATCTGGCAAGCCTGGTGGAACGGTTTCGAGGAGTATGTATTTTGATTATGTTGTGTTTTGTCTAGGTGGAGGCACCAAAAAAAAGATATGAAAGTTGTCTCCACTTTTTAAAATGGAATTGCATGACTTTTTGTTACGTACAATATGATTTTTTTAAATAATCCTGCATATAAGAGTATGGAGGTACAGACATCGAAAAACCAATAGTTTACGAGATATTTTATACTTTATTTTGACATATGTTGACTTAAAATGTTAAATATCTAAAAAATAAGATAATCAAAAGGTTCAGTTGAATAAATCACAAAAATAAACAAGATGCCAATGTGAGCTGACACAAGTTATTAATGTGCACTTTTCATACAATTTATTAGAAATAAATAACAAAACGTATACGTTTCGACCTACCGTTAAAGTTTTCTTCAGTACATGTTAAAATAATATAAAAAATTAAAAATAAAATTATATATATGATGGTAGCGCATATAACTATATTTAATTAAAGTGTGAGATAAAAAATTCTAAGGTGATAATGTCCAAATTAAAGTCAAATCTTGTTCATAAAATTGTTAAGTTTAATGATTGTCAAGATTAGACGATTTTTTGTATAGTTGTTGTTCCATTAAGCCCGTTCTACAATAAGTCGGGAGCCGTTTTCATATGTCGTGCCGTAAGAAATTGGCCAATCATGGTCGATTGTTTTCAACTGTGATTGGCCAATTTTTTACGGCACGACATACGACAACGTCGACAACGGCTCCCGACTAATTGTAGACCAGACCTTAGATTGCTTAGTTTAGTGAAATTTAAATGAAAATTATTAAATGAATTATTAAATGTGTATAAAAATGATATATCTGGAGACACGGTAGTGTCTCGGCGCTAAGTCAGGTGCAGCTAGAGATCCTATAATCAGAGTTTGGCCAAAACGAATCAAAGATGGCGGATAGAAGGAGATAACAGATATGGCTTTCTTTCTCGTATTTACGCATGCGCAGAAAGCGTGACACTGTGTCAGAAAATAGGTAACAGCAGGTCATATGGTGATATGGTTATAAACAAACACCTTATGTCCACGATGTTAAAAATCGCTCTGAAGTTTCAGAGAAGAAAGTGGCCAATCGAGTTAATCAATTGACTGAATTATTCAATTGTAATTTATTAATTTTCTTTATCCGGGATCTCGGAACAGTTTCTAACCTTTTTGAGACAAGGCTAATTAGAGCCAAAGAGGTTATATAACTAGAGGAGAATAGCCAGCTAAGGGTGCGATCCACTAGACACTTCAAACGCTTCAGACGCTATTGCTACAAATACTTCCGATAGAGTGATCCGTTAGCGTTACTAACGTTGCCAATACTACACAAGTGGATCAATCGTGAAGTGTTGGAAGCGTTATTATTGAACGTAACCTGCTAAAAAATCTCGTAACCATCGTATTCCTAGGCTGCGGAAGACATAATTCATGTTAATATGGAGATGAACGTGGCATTACGTGGTTATATTATACATTCTTACCTTCATTAACCTTTCTTGCATCTTCTTCGGAAACTTCTAAAGTATGAATATCTCCGGTATTAACATCTATTAATTGTATAATCGGCATTACTTTTAATTTCCATCAATATAAAACGTTAAAACCAAACGAAATCACGAAACACAGGTCATAGTTAATTGATATTTCTGATTATTTCCCGCGCTTTTGTGCATTCAAAATATCGCTTCAGCCGTACTACCTCTTCGGCAGAAGCATTTGCAGCACGCTGGAAGCGAAAACCTATGACGTCATATATGACGTCGTATCTGCTATAGAAACGCTTCGAAGGGTCTAGCGGATCACATCTGAAGCACTTCGAAGCGTTTGAAGCGTCTAGTGGATCGCACCCTAAGACTGCGTGAGCGCATAGAAAGAGACAGAAAACGAGATGTCCCCATCGGCATCCTTGTTCAATCGCTACTTAGCTTTCACAGTTCGATGCGCGCGCAACATTAAACAAAAATAAAGGTAGGGACATCTACAGTCCCTATATCAGAGTCTGGCCATTCACCGTGTTCGCGCCCATTGGCTGAATCAAGCTCAAGAATAACATGGCGGAACCAATGAGAATTACTACAAAATTCAGGCTAATTCAAATAAGAGAAATACAATAAATCACGAAACAACATTTTATTTATTAAAAAAACATCGAATATAACAGGACTACGAGCCATAAATTAAATATTATAAATAATGAAAGTAAAGTTTCAATTTAAACCATAAGAATTTAATGACATCAGGAGACGCGGTAGCGTCTCCGGCCATGTTCAAAAAAACTGTGAACGCTACAAGTCTCTTATCCCGAGCCACCAAAGTCCATTTTTGGGAGGTGCATAACTATTAAAATATAAAAAATTTTGAATCGAACGTCATATGTCCTGAAAGGCGGCATCGCCACGAGTAATTTGAGC